AAATTACTTGTAAATCATTAGATCCTTTTTGATATTCTATTATAACAATAAGATATGATAAATATGGCAATAAATCTTGCTGTTATCACAACGGTAATATTCCATTTATTATATATTTAAATGTCATGCCTGCGTTTGTCATTGCTTCAGCTGAGGGGACAGGTGACTTTATTTTTTTTTTTTTTTTTTTTTTTTTTTTTTAATAATATAGGAATAAAACAGGTTTGCCTCGAAGCTTTTCTTATTTCCAAAGCAGAGTAATCTTCAACAGAGGGAAATTTGCATAAAACCAAATTTAAGACTGTCCTTATGTGTAAGGACAAAATTGAAGACAGTCCTTACATTTATGAATCGAAAATAGCAGTAAAATATTAGAAACAACTAAATTAATGTTTAACAATCTATCAAATGGATCTTCAAATTTTTTTCTATCTTATTTGATGCAGAATTATCTTCAAATTTGAGTAAATTTGCATTGCAGTTTTAAAGACAATCCTTATGTGGGTGGGACACTTTCTCACCTGTCCTGAAACTTTTACTGAATTATAGACAAATTTGAAGATAATTCTGGATTGAATATGGTTGAAAGTTTCCTTCAGTTGAAGATTATTCTGCTTTGGAAATGATAAGAAAAATTATGAGGCCACTCCTAGATTTTATTGTTGTATTTTATTTAAAAAAACAGTGCTGCCCACCTTTTTAGCTGATGCAATGACAATAAATGCAGGCATGCCACATCACATTTGAATATACTAAATGTGTAATATTACCATTGTGATATCAGTTAGTAAGATATATTGCCATTTTTACCATATCTTATTATTACAAAAGGTTATCAAAAGAGGGTCTATGATGAGTTCCTTGTTAATTCTATTACCAGCATTAACTTCGAGATGTGGCAACAGTGCAAATCAAAGACAAAAACGTAAAGAAAAGTCTAAGACCTTTCATGAAAACCACCCGAGGTCCACTAATTGACTCCTTTGTGGCTAAGCACTGGCAGAGCCATATATGTGCAGAGACCTTTAAAAAAACAATAGGAAAGTGAACACAACATTCTCCCAGCAGCATTGTGTTAATTTCTTTGATTTAATGTTTGTTAGTATTTGTCATATGATAATTATGAGCACAAGCAGTGTGTGTATACAAAGATCAGTGAAAAAAGAACAAAGATAAAGGAGTATTGAACTTTGATGATGTGTCAGTTAATTTTTGTTCTCATTCAACTTCTGGAGTTCAGTAATTGCACAACATTGATGTGCAAAAATTTTAAATGTATATTTACAGTATATGATGTAGAGAATTGCCATTTAGACGCAACATCAATGGCTGAGGATCTGAGTCAAGACGGCGGGTATTAAGGATATGTTGTCAGCTTGTTGTGCACCCAAAACAGTTGATCACTTGTCTAGCCCTGGGTCTGACTGTCCAGGAGCTACAGCTCTACAAAAAAGGGGGTGAAAGTACACAAACCCTGGCTCCTGGCTCGATTTGGCAAGGAAAATTCTGTGACTAATAGAGCACTCCCATGCCTTTATATTCTTATTTTGTCCTCTTATTGAAAAGGCATTTCAGATGTCTTTTAGAGGAGGTACAATTTACACATTAGATGAAGACTATTTCCATAGTTTGTTCAGCTCTTTATTTGGCTATATATATTTTTACTTGTGTATATATATAACATAATTTTCTATTTGTTTATATTACATGATAAAGAAGAGGAAATATTGAAGGTTTAGAGCTCGATAAAGGTAGGCTGGTAATGAAAGAGGATTGCCAGGCAAAAGTTTTTATTTTAAGGCAGTGGAAACCGTTTTTTTGTTTGTATATATGAATTGTAGAGGAAGTAACCTCAGAATTAGGATGCCACAGAAGTATTTAGTGTCTATTTTAGATTGAAATTCAATAATGTAAAGCTTTGGTATGGATTGTTTTTGTACTTTATTATGCAAGACAAATCCTTGCTACATTTGACTCTGTTTTGTACTTATAGTGATGCACTTAGCCACACTTAGATTTGTTGCCGCATTGATATTTTTTCCATTTTCTGGTATATTTTTATCCATCCAAATATCTGCAATTAATCCAAGCCTATTTATGCACTTGAAGACCAACTCTTACTCACCCACACACATGCATAGCTAAAGACAACCATGTGCACCTAAATATGCACCCACATACTGTACACCTAAAAATTTACCCACTCATTTAACCCATTAACACAAAATGGCTAGTGGCCATTAACATGGGATTGTTGGCACACACCAACAATTTCGTCTGTTGGTGCCCGTCTCATTTGGCAGTTTGCGGGCAATCTTAGGTACCAAAAAGTCAATATTTTGATTAGAAAGAATAAGTCCACCCACACATACACATTTATCCACCCATACCTAGGATTTTATCTACACACCTGTAGATTTTTCACCATATTTGCAGAGTTAACACCCAGTTATCATTATGGCCAGTGATAACTGGGTGCAGAACAGTTTGCTGATTGCAAATAATCAAGCTTTATCGGGAAAAGTAACCGATAATTGTTTCACATGCTTGTCCTGTCAGGGTCACAGCATACTGACATGTAATGCTAAGTTTAATTAAATTACTGATTGATTTATTAGGATGCATGGCTGATGGCAGGTGTAATCCATAACATAGACAAAGGGCTCAGTTCGGCATGTGTCCTTGCTGACAAGAATGGCTAGTGTGAACTATAGGTGATTTGTGTTGACTGTAGGGTCGAGAAGCAGAAAAATGGCTATGCGGTTAATACATATTGCAGGGTCTTGAACTAGGGAATATGCATTGGTGGATCATTTCTGTGTATTAATTCACTGTGCTGTAATGGATTCTTGATTTTACATTGGGATACACTGACTGAAGAGGTGTTTGTGTAATGTGTCATCAGTCTGGATTTTCGTCATTACTTATTTCTTGTTTTTTAGAGTGACTGTGTAGGGGATAATCATGGAATGTTAGGTAGACTAGAGAAAAATGTCACTGGCTATGACCTGATTTGCTCTCCAGGTGGCATGCATGTGCATCAAGCCTGCTATGAGTTGTGTGTTCTCTTGATTTTCTGTTAAAGGAGCCACATTCACTGGAGAATATATGCTGCAGCCAAAATCATAGTGAGTGGCAAGAGTTTTTTCCTATGCTGCTTGGGTTTCTGGTGTGTGGCAAATAGGTATAGGGTTCAATACACTGATGGAATCGCCTGTTGATATTCGGTTATTGGTTGAATAATTCTCGTATAGGAGAGATTGTTATAATGCTGTATTCTAATTTAGTATCAGAATGTGAAAACTAGTTGGTGTAGATCCAGATAGATCCAGGTAGAACCAGGGAAGAAGCTATGAATGCAAATTTTATTTTTGTATAGAGAAATTCTAAGCCTGACTTTTTAGACATAAAGTAACTAATTTTAAGTGCTAATGTTTTAGATGTTAGTCATATATTAATAATAGCTTTACTATGTAAAGATTTAAATCAGCATTTGACATGGTCATCAGGCACTCTGACATGCAACATTTTTTGTAAGAATTTGTCATGCATGAATATTCTTGTGTATGTAGTTTCCTCCTTTCTTATGAAAGATAACAGCCACATTAGAAACATTTGTTATTGCACAATTCTCAGGTTAGAAGAGGAGGATTTATCCTTAAGTTATGAATTTAAAATGTTATATATTATTTTAGGAGTTGTATGAAACATGATTTGTCTTGTCTGTATGGTTAGATATTATATCTTGAATATTAACTTATGAAAATAGAATTGATTTTTAGTTGATAAACAGAATAAGCAAATCAAACAAGTGTATTAGATATCAAGTGAAAAATTACTGGATGGAACAGAACTAATACGTTATGAGAATTTGATGTAAGGCTGTTTTCTGTAAATATATTGTCATTGAAAGTTCATGTCTTTCCAGTTCAAATGCAGGTCTGTGGAAATTAAATTCACTTTTTTTTTTTTTTTTTTTTTTATACTTGGCATTCTTCTTTATATTTAAAAAACATACATTTATTTCTTTATAAAGAGAAATGTCTCATCCCTTGCTTTTTATTTAGTGATGATGATTTGGCTAAGATGATGTTTAAGCATCCTGACGAAATATGAATCATAGGTTCAAGTGTATTACTATATAGAATAGGCCTTAATACAGTGTGTAAGCTTTTTTAAGGGGTATGCTGATAATTACAGCAAAAGGCCAAGTGACTCGCAATATCCACAGGTCTCTAGCACTGCCGTACTTCAACAGCCACACTCTGTCACTATGCTCCCATAATTTACCATTCTGTCATTTCATTGCACAATTGATATCTAATAATAATATTGATATCAAGATAAAACATCTACAAGAAGATAGTTTGTAGGTCAGATAAACCAAAGAATACAAGGAAGAATCAGATTGTTGTACTAGTGCACTGAACCTGTCCCAGTCAATGAAACTGACCCTTGCTACTCATTCAAATCATACCTGCTGATGAGGTTGACACTTCTACACATATTCTTCTCATTAATGTTTACTGCTTTGCGTAGCTCTTCAGATTCCTTAGAAAAGGGTCTTGTAGGCCTGAAAGGGGGCTTATGATTGTTATTTACTCTTTCACACTTGAGTTGGAGATATGCTGGATATGTTTGCTGTGGAAACACTGGACTCTCGGCTAAGGAAGGCAGTTGGATACTGTCATATAAATTGATTGTGTTAAGAAAGGTACAAATGCAAAGAAATCTAACAAGGGGCAAGAATGAGTTTTTAGGGAAAGACACTGTTCCTTTCATGATTACAGGACCAGTACTCTTTCAAGGGTGACAAGGTTTCAAAGGAATTTTTCATCTTTTTCATAGTTATTAGAGTAAAGCAGCATGTACTGTGATTGATTTTCATGAACAACCCCTAGAGGATTTTATGTAGGGTAATGTAGTTGTGCATTGGGTTGTAATTATTATTATTTTATTTTATTTTTTTATTATTTTCCTTTATTTTGTAGAGATATGGTAGAGGTTTGCTAACACATTCCTTTACAGATATTGCAAAGATGAGCTACTTATTATAGTGTGTTCATTATATCCAGTTAGCGTATTTTGCTTCTGATAGTCTGGAATGCATTATAATTTTTGTGCATCTTGAAGTGGTAATTTCTCTGAAAGTAAAATTAGTTGCCTTCATCCCAAACTGTTAATTGATTTTAGACAGATTTCTGGTTGATGAATGATATGAATGAAAATCATGATGTTCTTACAGGAATTCGGGACGGAGAAGCTGCGGAGGGCATGGGCCACCACGGAATCCAACCCCCATGACATGGAGGCATGGAGCTTGATCATACGTGATGCCCAGAATCGTGCCATAGACAGTGCTAGACCCATCTTTGAACGCTTAGTGACCACTTTCCCCACCACGGGGAAGTTCTGGAAGATGTACATAGAGCAAGAGGTATGACTGAGTTCTAAAAAAAAAAAAAAAAAAAAAAAAAACAACAATCCTTAGTTTTGTGGTTTTTGATATTGTTGGTCATATGTCATGTTAGGATATTATCTCTCTCTCTCTCTCTCTCTCTCTCTCTCCTCTCTCTCTCACTCCACTCCCCTCCCCCTCCTCCCCCTCTTCCCCACCCTGTCCCCTCCCTGCCCCTCACCTGTCCCTCCCTGCCCCCTCCCTCCCCCCCTCCTTCCTCCTCCCTCCCTCCCTCCACACCCTCCCCTCTCATCTCTTCTGAATCTTTCTCTTCCTCTCATTCTCTCCCCCCTCCCCTTTTCATTTCTTTATATATATCCTCAGTGTGAGTGCATTAAGATAAGTAATTGATGTCTCTTTTTTTTCAGATGAGGTCTTATAATTTTGAAAAAGTGGAAAAGGTATGTTTAACACACTGTTTCAAATGCTATCTCTTCACAATAAAAGCTTGTATATTGACTTGTGTAGTTTATTTTTCAAGCAGTTTTGAGAGCTCGTTATGTTTCTGGTTAAATCCCAAGCAGTTCAAAAAGTGCAAGTGATATCTATTGCTGTAATCTAAAGGGCTTTTTGAGAGTGCATTGTGTGCGGCTACCAGTGATTGAATGATTTGAAGTCCTTGGTTTGATCTGAGTGATGCCAAAATACTGTATATACTTGAAAGAAGTCACTGACCATCTATTTAGATATTGAATATATATTGGCCCCTCAAATACAATGATATCCCCTGTTAGGGACATGGTGGTGAGCTGGAGTTTCCCTTGAACCAAACCTATTAGTGGGCTAGACACCGGAGTGGCCATGGGCAGCCTACTGCTTTAAACTGGAGTGTAGGCTTTGAGGGACCATTGCTCCAGGACAGTTTTGCATCTCCTCTCTTCTAGAGATACTGGAACAGTGACACTTAATGATTTCACTGTGAATCCTGAGGTCCTATGGCTTTCTGGGTCCTCATAATCCAGGGTTGTTGCTCAGATACTTATTTTTTTTAGATCAGGGGTATTGGGTTGTTTTAGGCAATGTTATAGCATCCTCTTGATCAACAGAAATTGCATAAGTTTAAAGCCTTTCATATCTGTGGATATATTAGAAATTTGTCTATCTGTTTATTATAATTATTATTATTATTATTTGATAATGAAATGCATTATCCACTAAATGATTAATTCCTATAATCCAGATGAGGTGACCAATCATGTCATGAAAATATTTGGTTCGAGGGTTGGGTGACATGAACATACCATCATGGGAAATTTGATGTCGTGAGCATTATGGCTGAAGGCTGTGGTGATGGAATGACTCGCCATAAGTGCACAAAGCTCTTACAGGTTGATTTAGACTCATTTGAGATTTAGGAAAGGCTTGCATTATTTTCATCAATAAATGCGTGTAGAATGTGCTGTCCATGAGCCATGACTGGAGGAGTGCCAGCTCCAGGGACGTTGCTGATTTCTATTCCGGGCCGCAGTGACTGGCAGTACAGATTTTATTACAAGAAATTGAATATTAAAAAAGGACATAACAAAATGTTCCTTATTATTGTTATTATTGTACTGAGTTCTGAGCTACCTAGAGAGATGAAATAGTCTGCAAAGAAAAGTCTGTTACCATCTGGATAAAGCGAATCAGATGACAAATAAAGACATTGGAAACTAGCAAAAGAAAAGAGACTAATAACCCTTATGCAGAAAGAGAGAACATTTTAAAGGAGAAGCGAGGATTCTTGTCACCACACATGAGTGTTTTTTGGTGCTTGGCCTACAGGCTGCACACCCATCAGTGTGTCCAGTCAAGAAAGCCTAATGTCCATATTTTGGGCCATGTGATAGCAGTGAAGCATCTAGATCCATTGAATTAAGGGTACTGTAATATTTACTTTAAGGCTAGTTAGCGATCATCAAAGCAAATTGCCCAATAGGGTTCCCATAGTGAAGACCCATGATATACACATTCAGAATGTTAAAAAAAAAAAAAAAAAAAAAAAATGTAAATTGCCTTGTAAAATATTGCCCTTAATCTATGCATGGGCATGTGTGCATTTATTGCATGAGAGAATGAATGAAAATGATAGGTGAATAGAGATTGAAGCTAGGTATTTAAGATAAGTGTGCTTGTGAATAATTAGAAACTCATTATAAAGAAAGAAAAATACTGTATGAACTTTGAATGTGCATTTGCATGTGGAATAAATGCCTCGTGTTTTATTGCTTGATGGATGTGAAAACATGATGAGCTCATTCAAAGCTGCTTATGTTGTTTTATTCTTATTATTAAATGATTTTGATTACAGGTAATTTTAAAAAGATGTACCGGGTTTAAGTATAAGATGGGTAAGGTGTAGGGATATAGCAATAAATGTGTAACAGGAACATCCTCGTGTTTTAATGCGTTTTTATTGTATGCTGTTACTCTTTGAATTGTACATATGAATATTGTTTTATGCCAGTACTATGTGGATAATAAAGAAGGGTGAATCCTCCTTGGTTTTTCTTCTCTTTTTTTAACTATTAGTGTTCATCGGTGACACAACAAAAATAGAGGAGGCGGAGCCAAAGGAAGTATCTGTTTTACAGGAAACAATTTGTGTAGCTGTACATGATAAGTATTGATTGTACATGGGGCCATAGTCAAGGAGAAAAATAAATTTTAGTTGGTGGTTGACTTTTACACTCCCCCCTCCCCCCAACACCAGCTTCACAGTATTCTTTCTAAGGTGCCAAACTTTTCAGTGTGCGTAGCTGTTCCGTGTACAAAAACGGATATGCAAAACATATCTAAAACAATGCAAAGCCTTGGCTGCAAATATGAGGTTGAAAGTAGGGGATAGAAGAGAACTAGTAAAACCAGTTACATTTGAGGGGGAGACTGAGAGAAGAGGAGAGAATAGGAGAAAGAGGAAATGGGAGAGAGTTGAGATTTAGAAGGAGAGATTATGAGGAGCAGCAGCAGAGAATGGGTGAGTGAAATGAGGGTGATAACTAGAGAATATGAAAGATTCAATTATCAAAGTGTGCATAGCATTGTATAGTTCAGGGAATTATCCATAAACGAAATGCAGGGAAATATTATTATTATTATAATAAAGAGTGAGTGGAGTGTGTGTGTGTGTGTGTGTGTGTGAGTGGAGTGTGTGTGTGTGTGTGTGTGTGGGTGTGTGTGTGTGTGTTGTGGTGTGAGTGGAGTGTGTGTGTGTGGTGTGTGTGATGTGTGTGTGAGTGGTGTGTGTGTGTGTGTTGTGAGTGGAGTGTGTGTGTGTGTGTGTGTGAGTGGAGTGTGTGTGTTGTGTGTGTGAGTGTGTGTGTGTGTGTGTGTGAGTGGAGTGTGTGTGTGTGTGTGTGAGTGGAGTGTGTGTGGTGTGTGTGGAGTGAGTAGTGTGTGTGTGTGTGTGTGTGGTGGAGTGTGTGTGTGTGTGTGTTGTGTGTGTGTGTGTGTGTGTGTGAGTGTGTGTGTGTGTGTGTGTGTGTGTGGTGTGTGTGTGTGAGTGTGTGTGTGTTGTGTGTGAGTGTGTGTGTGGTGTGTGTGTGTGTGTGTGTGTGTGTGTGAAGTGGGTGTGTGTGTGTGTGTGTGTGAGTGAGTGTGTGTTGGAGTGTTGTGTGTGTGTGGAGTGTGTTGTGGGTGTGGTGTGTGTGTGTGGTGTGTGTGTGTGTGTGTGTGTGTGGTGGAGTGTGTGTGTGTGTGTGTTGAGTGTGTGTGTGTGTGATGTGTGTGTGGTGTGTGTGCTGTGATGGTTGTGTGTGTGTGTGTGTGGAGTGTGTGTGTGTGTGTGTGTGCATATGTGGTAGTGTGTGTGTGTGTGTGTGTGTGTGTTGTGTGTGTGTGTTGTGAGTGTGTGTGTGTGTGTGTGTGGTGTGTGTGTATGTGTAGTGTGTGTGATGTGTGTGTGTTGTGTGGAGTGGTGTGTGTGTGTGTGTGTAAAGTGAAGTGTGTGTGTGTGTGTGTGTGTGTGTGTGAGTGAAGTGTGTGTTTGTGTGTGTGTGTGTTTGTGTGTGTTGTGTGTGTGTGTGTGTGTGTGTGTGTGTAAGTGGTGTGTGTGTGTGTGTGTGTTGTTGTGTGTGTGTGTTGTGTGTGTGTGTGAGTGAAGTGTGTGTGTTGTGTGTGTGTGCTGTGTGTGTGTTTGTGTGTGTTTGTGTGTGAAGTGTGTGTTTGTGTGTGAGGGTAAGTGAAGTGTGGTGTGTGTGAGTGAATGTGTGTGTGTGTGAGTGAAGTGTGTGTGTGTGTGTGTGTGGTGTGATGTGTGTGTGTGTGTGTGTGTTTGTGAATGTGGTGTGTGTGTGTGTGTGTGTGTATAAAGTGAAGTGTGTTGTGTGAATGTGTAAAACAGTGTGTGTGGTGTGTGTGTGTGTGAATTGTGTGTGTATGTGTGTTTGATTAAAGTGAATGTGTGAGTGTGTGTGTGTGTGTAAAGTTGATGTGTGTAGTTGTGTGTTAAAGTGAATGTGTGTTGGTGTGATGTGTAAAGTGAATGTGTGAGTTGTGTGTTGTAAAGTGAATGTGTGTGTGTGTGTGTGTGTGTGTGTGTGTGTGTGTGTGTGTGTGTGTAGTATGTGTGTGTGTGTGTGAATGTGTGTGTGTATGTGTGTGTGTGTGATGTTGGTGTGTGTGTGTGTGTGTTGTTGTGTGTGTTTGGTGTGTGTGTGTGTGTGTGTGGTAATGTGTGTGTAAAAGTGAATGTGTGTGTGTGTGTGTGAATGTGTGTGTGGTGTGTGTGTGTGTAAAGTGAATGTGTGTGTGTGTAAAGTGAATGTGTGTGTGTGTGTGTGTGTGTGTGTGTGTGTGTGTGTGTGTGTGTGTGTGTGTGTGTGTGTAAAGTGAATGTGTGTGTATGTGTGTAATCTGGTGTGTGTAAAAGTGAATGTATGTGTGTGTGTGTGATGTGTGTGTGAATGTGTGTGTGTGTGTGTGTGTGTGTGTAAGTGACATGTGTGTGTGTGTGTGTAAAGTGAATGTGTGTGTGTGTGTGTAAAAGTGAAATGTGTGTGTGTGTGTGTGTGTGTGTGTGTGTGTGTGTGTGTGTGTGTGTGTGTGTGTGTGTGTGTGTGTGTGTAAAGTGAATGTGTGTGTGTGTGTGTGTGTAAAGTGAATGTGTGTGTGTGTGTGTGTGTGTGTGAGTAAAGTGATGTGATGTGTGTTGTGTGTGTGTGTAGTAAAGTGAATGTTGTGTGTAGTGTGTGTGTGTAAGTGTCGTGTGTGTGTGTGTGTGTGTGCTGTGATATGTGTGCTGTATGTGTGTGTGAGTAAAGTAATGTGTTGTGTTTGTGTGAGTAAAATGATATGTGTAGTGTGTGTGGGTAAAGTGAAGTGTGCTGTGTGTGGTGCGTGTGTGTTGACATGTGTGTGTGTGCTGTGTTGTAAAGTGAATGTGTGTGTGTGTGTGTGTGTGTGTGTGTGTGTGTGTGTGTGTGTGTTGTGTGTGTGTGTTGTGGTGTGTGTCCGTGAGTAAGTGAATGCCCTATTGTGTGTGTGTGTGTGTGTGTGTGTGTGATAAAGTGAATGTGTGATGTGGTCGTGTGTGATGTGATGTGTGTGAGTAAAGTGAATGTGTGTGTGTAGTGGTAGTGAGCAGTAAAGGAATGTNAAGATAATTAGGAGAAAAGTGTGACGAACGTTTCGCGAACTCGAAACCAAGTGTCGCCGCCAAGGGATCAAAACCGAACGAAGTGTTGGGCTTGTGAAGCTAGTATCAACAATAACGAATTTTCGAGCAATTTTCGTTATTGAACCTTCTTTACTTGCCCTGTCCTCGTCCCCTAGCGACGGAGAAGGAGGAGGATAAGTGGGGTGATCGGAAGCAAGAAAAAGGGGAGAAAGAGCGTGATATCTGCGAGAAAGAGTGGAGTACAGAGGACGCGTGAAGCACTCGCGAGAGAGGTAGGAAACCCGTGCTTTGGCGTTTGCATTTTGCGATTTTCTTGACATTTGCTTGACTCAGTTTCGGTGTCTTTGCTCAGCGTTGTTCGTTGGTGCTCTGAAGAGACGCCTGATGTAAATATCAAGCTTATGGCGTTGGAAAATGATGCGAGAACGAGATCAGTCCTCACGGCTACTTAACCGCAATGTTTGGCAATGAGAAAACGTAAACATCATTTATTTCTTTTTTTATCTCTTTATTTTTGTCTTTTTATTTCCTTTTCTCCTCTCGTCTCTCTCTCATGGCTTTTTTCTCTCTCTCCTCTTGGTTAATCTTTACAGTGTTGATGTAGTATGGACAAGGTGAAAATTGTATAGAGTACTTTTGCCTGACTGATCATAATGAAGTGGCATCAGTGGATTCCTTTCACTCTTGACTCCTCTTTTCCCTCTGGATCTGGATACTGCGTTGACCACAAATCATTTCACCGGTTCACTACACTCTTTGCAGCAGTTTGAATATGCTGGGCCATGGCGACATGACTTCTGAACCAATAATCAATCACGTATCGTTGCGTCTTACATTGCGCATCACATCAAATTTTAGGGTAATTTCTATATTACCTTCGCCTCTCCGATATCGACGATTTTGGTATTGTTGGATTCCTCTCACTCTGTACAATCCAAATATGGGTAATTGTTGAAGACCGCGACGCACCTTGCAGAGACTAACTTCCAAACGTGGGAGGAGTACCCCTCCCCCTCCAAAGGATGGGGAACCCCCTCCCCTTCCAAAGGAGGGAGGGGTCCTCACAGAGCCTAATTCCCTAGGGGGGAGGGGGAGGGATGAGGGGGAGAAATCAAGTTCACGAAGCTTCGTTGGGGTGCGGGGATGCATGATGTCAATAGCAACCTGTAAATATCTAAATAAAATAAATACCACTTAAATATCTATACAAATTGTAATTATATGAAAGACGAGCTAAATTTATATCACGGCACCAATAGAAAGGCCGTATGATAAAAATAAGAGCCAAACTTTGTCCGATGGACACTGAATGAAACACCGCTAGATTAAACAAGCGCAAACGTAATGCGGACGAACTCGATATCTGATACACATTTTTTTTTTTTTTTTTTTACATTATAACATTTTCGTAATCATACGAACCTGAATACCGAAGCCATAACATTAACCAACGAACTTGTGTCAAACAGTTATAATTTTAACTAATGCGGTTATTGTAAATGGTTATTGTAAATTAGTCTAAACACATTGTAACATGCATTTTATTATAATTATTATATATATATTCCTTGCAATATACATGTGCAATTTGCCGGTTCTCATTTAAAACAAATTAAAACGTACTAACCTCCTGTTGTCGCACCTCAGTTATCAGACTTCCCCGCCGGTAATTATAAGTAAGATACCCACCCAATTTCGTTTTTTTTTTTTTTTTTTTTTTTTTTTTTTTTTTTTTTCCCCCCTACCCCTTTCAATCTTCAGGGGCACGTAGGACACACACCAAATGGGACAAAATAGTTGAATAAAATTTGAAAATTTAGGAATAAATGCAAAATCCGAACGAAACTTTGGCGCTGCTGCAACATGCGCCGTGCTGGTGTCCGTGTTGCCGATATCTCGACGAAATTTCTTAACCTAACAAAACTTGGACAACATTCCCTGGGGGTATTTCGCTGTAGTTTCAGAAATCTCGAGTACTTCGAGACGGTTCGAGACATCGAGATTTGTAGAAAGGCAACCTTTGATTTTGAATTAAAGCACGGCCAGTGAGGTCCCCACAAATATTAATTCCCGGCATGTACGAACATATTAAATAATTCCATTACACTTTCCGCGGCTGCCTTAATTAGGATTGCCCAAAATAATTTACCACACCCCTTATTAGCACGATGTCTAATTATACCAAATCACATTATCAATACATTTAACACATACCGTCAGTGCGGAGGGTACAGGCGAGCTGCGGCAAGGAGGAATTGATGGAATCTTTTGTTCTCCGCCGGGTACTTCATTTGAAATGGCCTTAGCCAAGTACCCGGCGAAGTGGTATGTCCTCCTGCCGAAGCGGGGCACTTTGATCTTCGCTTCCCTCCATTTCCGCTCGATCGTGTTTGTGTGCGCTTTACTTTTGGGGTCAACAAAATTATATGAATGATTCACAGTTAAATGTTGATAGCCCTCTTTCTCCAAACAGTTGTATGCCTTCCAACAATCACTAATGACCGTTGTCCCTGGGTGGATACGCTCTTAATGACGTTAAGCAAAGAGAGAGTCACGCGTCTCCACGGCAACGAGGAAAAAATCCCTACTCTTGCGGCATACTCCTCCAAAAACCCACTGACCTTCTATGACACGACCTACGTTATATTTACGTTTACCAAATTTAGATTCATCAATCTCGACAATTTCCCCTGACCCACCAATTTTGTCGGATTGATTTTCAAAACACCAGAAAATTAAAACCTCCCGGCAGAAGCTCGCCCAATCGCAAATAGTCCGGTTTGGGAAATTAAACTCGCTCCGTGCAGATGCGTAAGAAAACCTCTCTCAGATACAAATTTACAAATTTTAAATTAGTTTCAAAATCGAGCTTACTATTATCAAACCAGGTGTTCTTAAAAAGTGATTTTTTGAAATTGCATTTTCGATTATTTTTTTGGGGGGTCTTGTCGCACCTGAATGAATTGGTGTTATCGCGACATTTCATGACCTCCAAAATGAGGCCATGTGTACGGCAAAGATCGAGCAAGAGGGAAGGCTGGGTGCCATACTTTTCCCAGAAGTGCCCATACCTACCATGATAAATAATTTTAACAAAATATTTGACCCATTATGATATAAGCAACAACAAAATTTTAATTCTTATTTGAAAAGACATAAACACTTAATAATATAAATAATAAACATTTAAACTTACCCCATGTCACACTCCGCACAAAAATCACTAGATGTTGCCATGATGGTGGCTGTATAATACATAAAAACGAGCCAAACTTTGTCCGATGGACACCGAATGAAACACCGCTCGAGTAAACAAGCGCAACTCACAATGCTTACAAATCCGATATCCGATACACAAATTTTTCACAAATATAAAATGTTATCATGCTAACCAAAATAATGAACACAAGATATCAAAATAATTCCCACCCCGCCGCTTATTCGCACGATGTCAATTTATTTAAAAAATTATTAAACAATATACAACTTATACCGTCAGTATACAGACGAGATGTGGCGTGGAGGAACTAATGAAATCTTTTATTCTCCGCCGGATACAACATTTTTACATGTTTCTTGGCAAAGTACCCGGCGAAGTGAAATTGCATCTAATTTTTCTATTATCATTTTGGGGGGTTTGTCACATCTACATGAATATGTCGTTGCATTTGGGGCATTTAAGGGCTACCGATATGAGGGCATACGACCGGCATATTCCTCCACGAATTGTCAGTACCTACCGAAAAAAATATGTTTGAATAACGCTATTTATCAACTATGATGAAAGATACACTATTTTTTCAATTGTCTTTAAAACACCAATAAATATAAAACAAACCTTGAAACAAATATCTTTAACTTACCACATGTCACACTGCACACAAAACTTGCTAGGTCCTTACACGTCAAGAGCTTACCGGAAAGTGTTCAAGTAATGAACATTTTTTTTTCCGACATGGGAGGCAATTTCGGTAAAGAGGCAGTAACGTTGTTACATTGTTAACAGTGAATCTACGTTATGATAACGAAATTTTAAATCATAAAATATATACATTATAAAGAACAATGCTTAAAATGTATAAGCATAAAAGAAAGAGAGGAAATGTTAGTAGAAATAGGATTAAATAATGGATTAAAATATTAGTAATCGGTAATGCTTCCACGTTGGTTGAAAGTAGTGCAAAGAAAACGTGACATTTAGAGAAAATGCGTGCATAGAAAATGGAAATTCAGAAAACTAGACACGTATAGAAAAAGAGTTTATAGAAAATGCAGACATAAACAAACGACTGCCTCAGAAGGTCGATTTAGACTTTAGACTTCCATTTAACGGTAAATATAAGTCCGGCGCAACTTATGCTATGTTCTATCCCACTTTATTTTTTCCGCTCTATAACATGGCGGTGTCCATTTCTCGCTACGCGCGTCCGTCTCCGTAACCTCTACCGGGGCGACGATGAAGGAGTGGCGGTCGGAGCAGCAGACGTACCATAGTAATTTTGACGATTTTGGTAACGTTGCATTCCTCTCACTCTGTACAATCCAAATATGTAGGTTTTATTGTGGGGAAACACCCCGTTAGCGGCAAACTTGGGCCCTATACCGGGGGCGACGATGTCGGAGCGGCGTACGCAATATAGAAAATTACCCTAATAATATAACCCACAGTGAAATTATCCATGGTCATTCACATGACTTTTCATTTCAGGGGGCTGTGTCCCCTGCGACCCCCCCAGCAGGGGCTGCCACCCCCTAACCCCCGCCGAGGAAACAAAATATCCACCACATATTCACGGCAGGATAGAGTGCACACAAACTAGATGCGGAGCCGATAACTTACCCTATCATAACCTGGTACCTAGTAGGAGCACCCTCCACACATGGTCATTGCAGCAGCTATGGCAAAGTACTGAACACGGCGGGTATTTCGGTTAGGAATTCGAAAATCGTGGTTCCAGGGGACGGGAAACTCGACCTTGAGGGTAACATCGAAAGAGGTGCAAAACCCGCTGATGAGGGCGCTCTTCTGTTTATGGTATACCCCGTTCATCGTGATTATACTACAATCGTTTCTGTATACAATGATGATTATGTCAAGGTTAGTATGCTGATTCAGTGGGAATGTTACAAGATAACTGTAATACGTCCACCGCTCTGAGATCGACGATAATTTGTAACGCTCTAGCCTGCCGCTGCAATGGAAAATCATGTGAATAACCATGGTTATTTTCACAGTTTGTTATATCTTTAGTGTTATTTTACCCCGCATTTTCCCTGGAACCTTCCATACCCTCCCTTGCTATCGGGGCCAAATTTGTCACTAACGGGGGGTCTCCACGCAATAAACACTTTATATTTGCAATGTGGACAGTGAGAGGAATCCAATGATACCAAAATCGTCGATATCGGAGAGGCGAAGGTAATATAGAAAATTACCAATTTTAGAGTGCAAAATGTGAATGGGTAAATGTTTACTATAGGATAAGTTGAGGATTCAGCAGCAGTGGCCTCTGCTTCAAACCCCCTCTCGAACACGTATTACTGTATTACATTTTACATACCTTAGTGTGGTGGGTACAGGCGAGCTACGGCAAGGAGGAATTCGTGCAGACGCTTGTTGCCTCAGGGATGTTCATCTGGAACATCGCCTGAGCCAAATTGCCCACGAAGTGGTATTTCCTCCTGCCGTAGTGAGGAACTTTCGTCTTTGCCTCTCTCCACCTCCTTTTAATGGTATTTGTGTGAGCGGCTGTAACAGGGTCCACGAAATTAATGGAGTGGTTCACTGTAAGGTGTTTGAATCCTTCATGTTCAAGACATTTATATGCCCTCCAACAATCACTTATTATAGTGGTTCACAGCTCAATTTTTTCTTTAATCCGAGGTGCGTTTCTGCATCTCTCAAAGGCACTGGGACAAGGAAAAATTGTTTTGTCTTACAGCAAATGCCGCCAAACACCTACTGCCCTTCTATTATAAGGCCAACGTTGTATTTCTGCTTTTCAAATTTGCTTTCATTGATTTCAACAATTTTTTCAGGACCACCAATCTTTTCCGAGGTATTACGCAAAGACAAGGAGATACACACTTCTCGACAAAAGCTTGCCAAGTCACATATAATTTTTTTCGAGAGACCTAATTCATCTCTTATTGGTTCGTAAGGAGAAAATTTCTTAGATATAAATTAATGAAAAACAAATTAATTTCTATGTTGAGTTTGCTATTTTCAAACCAAGTGTGCTTGAAAATGGACCTTTGAAATTGGCACCTGACACGCCTGTGATGTATTTTTCAGGATTTGTCACACCTAAAAAGTTTTCTTCAAATCTGTCCGGCAGTCTGCGCCACAATTTTCACACTTAATTGTATCTAAGATAAGTTTGTGGTCTTTACACAAATGTAAAAGACCTTCGAAATCTCCTGAAAACTTTTTGAAAAATTCACCAAACCTGCTGTCACAGTCTTGACACCGGTTTAGCCATACTTCAGACTGACCAGCTGTCAAAGTGACCCTCCTTAGTTTACGCGTGCAGAATATGAAATGGAACGGTTGTAAAAAAATGTTTAACACAGGCCATAACACTGTCAATGTGGGACCAAAAAAAGTAGTCAATAACATAATCAGTTTATACAACCAAAAATATTAAGATAGATCCGTATGAAATACGCATGAAAAGTAAAAAAATACACGGTTCGTAGTGATGTCATGTGACGTACATGCGCAGTGGCCCAGCAGTAGGTGTGAAAACTGGGTGAGAACTTTGTAAACATTAGGTCGCGTGTGGACTTAGTCACTGGAGGCGCATGGGGATTTTGCGCATCATTTTCATTTTTTAACTCGAATAGGTTCACCTCTGCAAATCAATTTTCATAGCAAGGTACTTAATTTTCCATCGCCTACAACGCTATGATCTTCAATTTTCTCCTAGTCGGTGCGGTCCTCTCCTAAACCTTTTCCTGTAAATGGATTTGAGAAATAAACTGAATGAAATTTAATGGTACTTTTTATTGTTTGGAGAAAAAGTATGGTAAATCAATGTGAAATTACACGTAAATGTCCATTGGTATAAGTTGAAGACACTGATGCACTTAGACTGAGGGAAATGGACTCCGCCATCTTATAGAGCGGAAGAAGTAGAGTGGGATAGAACATAGTTTAAGCTGCAATGGCCTTATAGTCACTGCTAAATAACAAAAAATAACGTCCAGCAACTTGTTTACCTTGCCAGGAATAACAAAACACTGACTGCTGAACTCATTACTGTGATGTCTAAAGTAGGTCTTGTGTTACTACATGCTTGTCAGAACTATATTTGGCTAATTATCAGTGTCTGCTGTTACACATTTATGCTTTTAAGGTCTTTTACTAATGTTATTTTACTTCATTTACATGTTTTAAGATTGATTTATAGCCTTATATAGGATTGTCTGCACATTGTGCGTTTCACACTTTCATTTGTAGCTGCGAGGTTTGACAGTTTGGTATTTATTACAGAGAGCGACGCACCCTCCCAGTGACTAAGTTAAAAAAAATTGATGTTGTCATGCAGGAAATCCAATGGTTTTCTCGATACTCGATGTTGTTTCTTCTGCAAATGAATTGTTCAGGAGATCGAGTACCATTTCTCCATCGACGCTCTTCATTTGATAGTCCCGTCAGCAGGGGAGGGCATGAATTATATCAGGGAAATTATGGGGTAAAACCATTAATTTTTCACTAGGTAATCCGCTTTTTAATCCTTTCAGAAATGCCCAGCAAGTGACACAGTCAACAGGCAAGATGGACAATAGCATGTATTACCAGTACAACCGATTTGCTGACAAAGGCAAGTCGGAGCATGAAGGCTATGCAACAGCCCCTCCAATTACAAATACAGTACAGAATTCAAGCCAGTTTGGCAAATTTGGAGGGACCACAATGCAGAGGCAATCACAGTACCAAGGGTCATACAATTCAATGGACACCAGTGAATCCAGCCAGTCCAACAAGTTTGGAAATACATCCCAAAGACCACAGCAGTATAGTGAGTCTGGTGATGCAGGCAAACCAGATGCATCACAGACAGAGAGGTATGGAAGTGGATCACAGAAGCAAGGACAGTATGATACATCGTACGAAATGATGGACATGCAGAATTCAAATAGGTATGGGAGTGGCTATGGAAATCCATACATGATGGGGGGTTACTATGATGACTATGGGCATTCAGGTTATTATAGTGACTACGGGATGTACAGTGGCTATGGCTATTCACATTCATCAGAAAGGTATGGAGAGATGGATTACTATGGTAGTTCAAATATGCAGGAAGGTTACGGTGGTTCCAGTCAGTCTGGGAACTATGGAAATGGGAGTCAGTCAAATAATAAATTTGGCACCAAGGACCAGTCTGAGGACTATGGAAGTTATATGACGAATAGGTTTACAAATAAAACCCAAAGTGAGAACTATGGAACCCCGCCTCCCCCACCAGGCAACAGATTTGGAAGTAAGGATCAGCCAAATAATTATGAGCCCCCTCCACCACCCCCACCAAGCCGGTTTGGGAATAAAGATCAGCCAAATAACTATGGGACTCCACCACCACCGCCAAACCGATTTGGCAGCAAAGATCTACCTAATTTATACGGAACTCCACCGCCCCCTCCAAGCAGATTTGGGACCAAGGAACAGTCAAGCAATTATGGAACACAGCCACCTCCACCTGGTCGGTTTGGAAACAAGGACCAAGTGGAAAACTATGGAACTCCTCCACCTCCTCCACCAAGTCGCTTTGGAGGCAAGGATCCACCAAACAAGTACGACCAGCCACCCCCTCCTCCTCCAAGTCGCTTTGGCAGCAAGGATCAACCAAATAATTACTCCAACCCTCCTCCTCCTCCAGGCAGATTTGGAAACAAAGATCAGGGAGACACCTTTGGAAAATCAAGTGTTCCAAGCCGATTTGGAAATAATGACAATGACAGTGGTGGATATGGAACTCCACCTCTAGGCAACAGATATGGAGGCAAAGACATGTCAAACAGGTTTGGAGGTAATGACCAGGGAGATGGCTACTCAAGCTCCTATCAAAACAACCGGTTTGGGAATTCAGATTACTCGGACGGCTACAGCAAACCAAACCAAGGGAACAGGCCTGGTAATTCCGGCCCTTCAAATAAATTTGGAAACACAGACCAGATGAACAGGTTTAACAATGAGGATCCCCCAGAAAACTACGGGGGAAACCAAGGCTACTCTAACAGATATGGCGGTGGAAATGATCGTGATGACTATAGGAGCTCAGATCAAATGGACAGGTTTGGAAAGCCACCTCAGCATAACAAATCCAACATGCCCAACTCATCAAATGCACCTAACACATCACAGAGCTTACTGGGAACACCAAACATGAACCAGCAAAATAATTTTGGAAACAATACAAACAAGCAGAAGCAGCAGCAACCAGCAGCAGCCAAGCAGCAGCAGCAGCAGCAGCAGCAGCAGCAACAGCAGCAACAGAAGCAACAACAACAGCAACAGCAACAGCAGTCACAGCAGCATCAGAACAAACCAACACAGAGTTACTCCCAAATTCAGGAAAACAAAACTCAATGGGAAACTCAGGGCAGAAATTCAACCCTGCTCCAGGGCTCTTAGATCTACCACGCAGCAACCAGATGAATAAATTTGGAATTGGGAACCAGAAGCAGCAGCAGCAGCAACAACAGCAACAGCAACAACAGCAGCAGCAGCAGCCATTTGGCATAATGCCAAGTCTTTTAGGGTTTCCTGATGCAGAAATGTTTAATAAATTCACAAGTGCCATGCAGAAGATGGCACAGGCTCAGTTCAACCCCTCAGGCGGCTTGTTGCCGCCACCAGATATGGGCAATCGAAAGACTGCAGAGATTGCCCCTCCAGCCAGCATGGCCCCTTGTAAGGAGCCTGAGCGCTTTAATGAACTCCCCAAGAAACCAGTGCTCACAACCAAGAAACCACTTGCACAGCAAGGCCCACCTAGAAACCCTACACAACAGGGTATGGCACCTGTTAGGGGTCTTCAGGCACAGCTCCAGAGCCTCCAGGCACAAATCCAAAGTAGGGGGGGCCCATCTTTAGGAATGCTTGAAGAGCCAGGGAGGAACACTGTGCACTTTGACCTCCTAACTGGGAAGATGATTGGCCAGAAGCCTCCCCCAATGACCTTCCAAAGGGGGGGGAAGGGAGGACCAGCCCAGGGACGTTTCAGCAAACGGGCTGGCCTTGGCATGAAGTCAGGCATGAGTGATGGCCACTATGGTAAGGGATTCAAAGGACAGAAGCAGATGGGCAAGATGGGTATGAAGATGGGAAAGAACAAGGGTCAGATGACTAAGGCACAAATGAACAAAGCCATGAAGCAAGGCCAGTTCAATAAAGGCAACATGAAGATGGGCCAAAGGCAGGGGCAGTATAACCAGTCAATGGCATTCCAGAATCCATGGGCCAAGAAGGTAAGGTTATTTGTACTGTTTTCATCTCCACCTTATCCCATTTCCATTCTCCTTTCATCAGTTTTGATAGCAATGAAGCATGACTGTGGGATGATCCAAAGTGCGGCAGGTGTGTGACTAGTCAGGAAAGGGCACAAGGCTGGGAGAGTGAGGTTATTGAAAGGGGAAGGTTTTGATACCTGTGATTGGTATATTGATTGTATGATAGTTTAGAAATTATTGTATGCATGTTTTTTGTTTTATTTATTTTTTATTTTTTATCTTTTATCTTTTAATATGTCAGGAGTTTTCTTCAGTAGGGAATGAAAGTCCAACTTGGGAGTGGAAGCAGATGTGTATATATAGCAATCGAAAATATTAATGTATTGTATTTCATGTTGTAGTTGTTTTAAAGTAATCTTAAAAAGAAACATGATAGATAGACAGGGATAATTTTTTATCTGTTTGCCTCACACTACAGGTTAATCGAAACTATCAAAATTTTAAAACCACGCACCATTAAGGTGAGGAAGTTTGTTTTGGTCACCCTCTCTCCATTTCCTCTTCTTCATGTCTCTTCTTTATTTGTCTCACCTGTTCTCAACTGCAGGGGCATATCAGCCCACCAGACTATCATGTTTCAGGTTCCCTTTTTACCAGGTTCAACGTGATGCAGTCGAGGATAAGGTAGCACTGGTGCCGTGAGCCTCCTTCCGCCACCACCACCACTACTCTCCAGGCAGATAAACCAGGCTTCGGATACAACTAGGCACCAGGAGAATGATCCTCCCCTCCCCACTGTGGTGCCATAAAGCAGCATAATGCATAGCAGGATGTTCAGCTATAGTATGTAACATACTTATGAACTTGCAATATCTCCTCTGGAGATTATGAAGTAAATGCTAAGAAAGATAAAAAGTGTTCTTAGAAGCACAATGGCTGTGCTTAGGTACCCTTTTGAAGGTGTATCTATTTTCCTGGTTCCTAGTTG